AAAGCACATCCCCACGCAGGATAATGCTCTCTACTCTTTGATTACAGTTAGCAATTGGAGAGCCCTCCGTTCGAGAGCGCTGGGTATTATCAAAACCAATCAACATGAAAGTTTTTTTTTTTCTCTCCTGCACCCACTGGAGGGCAAGAATAGGGGGGGGGGGGATGTTTGGCGGGGGAGCAAAAATGGTTATCATTGAAATAGAGACATCAGAGTAAATGGGCAGCCTGTTGGGAAGCGTACACATGACTGAGAGATGGAGAAACCCGATTGATGGATCCTGAGTGCCACATGCTGTAATGTGGGTTTTTGGAAGTCACCATCATATCAAAATTGACAATTGTTGTGTTTTTTATGTTTTATTTTTTATGATTGATTGTGTGTTTACTGGTGGGAGGAAGAGGGGACCTGTCAATCATATGAGATCGACCAATCGTAAACCACAAACATCTAATCAATTCCTCGTCTGACTAAATCAAGTCCAATCCCATAATTTTTAAAATTTTACAACGGAGGAAAACTAATACAAATGGTGTATCTCATAAATCCTTTATTTATTTATTCATTCATTTTCTTTTCGGCTTCGTCCCACCGTGGAATGAACCACCAACTTATCCAGCATATGTTTTACAAAGCGGATGCCCTTCCAGCTGCCCTTTTAGCTGCAATCCATCACTGGGGAACATCCATACACACCTATATATATATATATATATATATATATATATATATATATATATATATATATATATATATATATATATATATATATACTCATACACACACACACACACACTTGTACAGCTATCTTTATGGGGACTTCTCATAGACGTAATGATTTTTATAACGTACACACTGTATATTCTAAATCCCTTGCCCAACTATACCCCTAAACCCAACTCTCACGGGAAACAATCTGCATTTTTACATTTTTTAAAATACTCCATTCTGTGTAATTTATGAGCAGTTTTCGTCATAGGGACCAAAAAATGTCCCCATGAATAATAATAATAATAATAATAATAATAATAATTTATGATAATTCCATACATTTATATAGTGTTTTTCTAGACACTCAAAGCACTTTACACACATTTTTGAGAGGGATTTTCTTCTTCCTCCAACAGAAATCAAAGTTTACAGGTATTGCTATCTTGTGGCGACATTTGGTTGCCACAACGTCAGGAATACAAGACACACACACACACACACACACACACACACACACACACACACACACAGACACACACACACACACACACACACACACACACACACACACACACACACACACACACACACACACACACACACACTCCATGACAGAAAGAAGTTTCCATAAGCTTTCATTCGGGCATACGCCACAAAAGAGAAGAAAAGACTATCTCAACTTCCATTTCATGCTGACTTGAAGACAGAAAATCAAGAGACGGGAGTGCAGTTGCTCAGTCTGAGGTCATTCTCTGGAGGGCCCGACTGTGGGAGAAACGGCTTCAGTTTTATAACGTCATTTGAATATTAGTTTATGCCGCGGATGATGAATTAGAGGGATGGCTGTCGTTTGTTAATAATTCAGCAGCGTGCGGATGGTGGGATATAGACTCGGACAAATACAGAGAGATGGGCTTCATTCCTCTGAGGATGTATGAATAATGCTCGCTTGAGATCAAGGAGTGTGTGAAGGGTGTTTAAAGGTTGTATGTCGACAGCGCAGCAGGAGATTATATACATTCTTGCTCAAGCACTTAATATGACTTATGAGTGTTTGTTTCACTGGGATGGAAACGGATGGCAAGTTCGAGAGAAAGAGAAAGAAACATCCCGATTGAGAACTCTGTTCTTTCTCACATAACTGTTGGCCTGAGATTATTGGATAGTTTTTTGATTGTCAGTTTGTAAAGTGATTTACGATCAGACCAACTTAAAATCAGATATTTTTCACTATAAAATGATATGAGCAGCTGTGCACACTCATTTAAAACATTTGATAGATCTACAGTATACTGATACTGTATGTGAGCTATTTACTAGGGATGTAACGGTATCAGAATTTCACGGTTCGGTAATACCTCGGTATGAATGTCACGGTACGGTATTTATTGAATCATTTACAGGAAAAAAAAAACTTTTGAAAATACTCCAAAAAAAGTGCCAAAAGTGTCAATGACATACAAATTAGCCATCTATCTGTAAGCTTTGAAACACTAACTTCAATTTTAATAACAAAAAAATATTAAACCATGTAAAAAAATAAAGTTTCAATTTAGTATTGTTGAAAACTCATCACATTCAACATTTAATCACTCACTCACTTAGATAGAGATGGGTTTAAAGGAAAATTATCATATAATTATAATCTGGTAAAAGCTGGTATCTCTGGGCATTTACAATGTCCCCTGCAACAGAAAAAAACCCCTCTCATTTGGTACTGAGGTTTCTGGAACAAGAGAGATATGACTTGGCCCAGGTTGACAGCAGTGGGGTAACATTGTGCATTGTCTTTCCCCCACTTGAGAAGACAAATCATGAGTGAGATAGAGGTCTCTTTGCGGTACAAGTCAATGTCTGAATCAATCTGAACAGTGTGCTGTGTTTCTGCAGTCCCCATGACTTTTATTAGTCGTATTCCCCAACTTGCAGGCACGTGCACACATAGGGCTCAACCTGTGCAGTGCACATGCCCTTTTTAGTCTTGGATAGAAAATGCCCTTCCAAAACGATCAAAAGTGCCCCCGCGACGCGACACACCCTCCGTCCAATCCAGCCCTTCAGTAGGCGCGCGACAACACCTCTCTTGAATATGCGCGCTCAACCCCCCCTCGGCGCTTTACAATACGCGCGCCACAACACAGCTGATCAGAACGCGCGCCACAACACAGCTGATCAGAACGCGCGCGACAGCACCGCTATTCAGCACGCGCGCGGCGACAACACCCGCTTTAGGTTCGATCATTTCCATCTTTTTTTCATCTCCGCTACTAGCAGCACACTCCATTTCCGCATTACTGGATCTGTAGCGACAACAGACCGCAAAGGATTATGGCCACGCCGGGGCTGATGGGAAATGAAGTTTCAGCTATGTCCCGTTCGCTTCATTCGCCTGAGCAAATTTTCTCAGGAGACCTATAGTTTTACCGAGTCATGCGACTTCGGTAATATCGAAAAAAATTAATATTGCGGTATGACGGTATTTACAATACCGTTACATCCCTACTATTTACTATTGATTTTTTTGGGGAAAGAAAATAAAAAAGGAGAAGTTCTGTGACTAAGTTGATACTTAGATGAAATAAAGATGAGAAAGTCAATCGAACTCCAGAGTAATGAAAGAGCAAGACGTGAGCAATCAAATATTTATCGTTCACATGTTTTTCTTTGCGATCTCTTTGATAATTAAAGATTAAATTGTAATTTTTATCTTTTTTTTGTTTTGCATTTGGTTAATTTTGCATATTCCCTGTGGACTATATTTGGTAAAAGCAAAATGTTCTAATATAGTAATGTTTTATACAGTAGCTGTCTTATAGAATTTATTTATTTTTATTATTATTTTGTTAAGTCTAAAGGCAAAATTTCGGTAAATGCTTATATATTTGTTTTTAGACTTCATACGAGTTAATAAATGATTTTTAATTGCTAATTAAAGAATGCTCTTACTGAAAAAAAAATATTTGTAATTTGGGCAAAATGGTATCATACATGTCATTCATTAATTCATTTTCTTTTCGTCTTAGTCCTTATTTTGCTGCTTGTGAGTTAAATTTGCGCTCTCAAGTGACCGAGATGTAACCTACGCTCTCAAAAATAAAGGTACATGAGCTGTCACTGGGGCAGTACCTTTTCAAAAGATACATATTTGTACCTAAAGAGTCCATAGTGGTACCTCAGAGGTGCATATTAATCCCCAAATGTACCTAAAAAGTACCTTTGAGGTACCATTATGGACTCTTCAGGTACAAATATGTACCTTTTTAAAAAAAAGTTACTTCCCCAGTGACAGCTCATGTACCTTTATTTCTGAGAGTGTAGAGAATACGGTCATTTTTCAAAATAAAAGACTTTTTAAAATAAAAGATTGTTCAGACTCAGATAATAAATAAAATGGAAATAATTAATGATTTATTGTGCGGCCCAGTACCAATTGATCCATGGGCCGGTACTATATATAATATATATATTCTAGACCTGCAGACATTGATTTCTATGAAAGGAAAAAACAAAAACTATAGAAATCAATATCTACCGGCTTCCAGTATTTATGTATTATTTTGTATTAATTAGAAGAAAGAACCTCAGTATGTTGGACGCTCAGTAAATGAGACAGAATTTTCATTTTTGCGTGATCTATCCCTTTTTACTCAAACCTATACCTAGTAATGTCATGGGTCAGGTTTGATCAGGTGTCTTACAATTAGTGCTGGCGCACATGCATTACTCACCTGTTGCTATTTGATCTGATTCACCTCTCTACTTATACTTGCCCTGTCTTGTTACTCATTGCCAGATTATTGTGTTCTTTTAGCTTACGGACACTCTGCTACTCCTTTCTACATTTAGTCTAGTCCAGTATTATTATTTATCATTTGACCTTTATTACCTGTATCTGCTTCGTCACCTCGCTTTGGAATCCGGTTCCTCATCTGTCAATACCAGCTCCAGTTTCCGTTCCTCAGCCCTTTGTTCTTCTTTTAATAAAGGACTCAATTGTACTGAAATCCTCATTGTTTACTGTCCGAGCCGAACTGAAAAATGGTCTCTTAATCTTTTCCCTAGCTGTATTAATTTTTCACATTTTATAATATATTAAGACCTGCTTGGTATTTTGTTTCATGTGATTCTATTATAGAGCATTATTTAAACAATACAATCCTCCTGTTGGTTCAGTTTTTTTTGGGTGCTAAGATGTTCTAATGGAAGATCTAAAGACGGCAGAGAGTGTGAATAAGAGAAGAAAAAAAAGAAACGAACTTCCACTGACATGTCATTTTGTGTGTGTGTAGAGTTTCAAACTGAACGTGGACAGTCACAGCTCTCTGAAAGACAGTCTCCTGGAGGAGGGACGGCAGCTCCTGGAACTCATCACCTCCCACAAATCAGGTACAGTTCTGCCGAGCCGCACATTTATTATTAATGTTTGTATTAACATAGTGACCTTCAGAATTTATAAATCCCAGAGTAACCGCTTCCGAACCGCCGAGCGCACGCCTTTTCACATACATTACAAATGGCGCACGGCCCGCTGAATTGAGTTCTGGGATAAAGCGGAGAGACAGCCGCCTCCAAAAGCGCATATGAAGAGAGCAGGAATTAAGAACAGCAGGTTGAGGAGTCAGAGGCCATCGCAGACACTCGTTCCTCCACAATATCTGTGATTATTCACCTGAAGAGTCTTGCAGAGTGCTCGGCAAATGCACAAATCCACTCCGCTGACCTCCCTGCTGGTATGTCTGGTCTCCGCTGGGTAAAGCCGGCTGCCATTAAATATGCAGATGGTTCTTGGAGACAGGAGCGAGGCTTATAATGCCCCGACAGCCCTGTCCTGTGGTGCCACAGCATGACGACAGCTCCCTGCCAACTATACAAACACAAACATGCCCGCCTGCACCTTTACTATAACCTAAGTGTCCATAGGGAGCTTCTTAAAGGGGCCACTACTATACTTCTTTGCTCTATTGAAACAGTCTCTATCAATCATTAAGACTGCAAATGTGTGCAAAGTAAATAGTGCACATGTTGATTTTTAAAAGTGCCATAGATTAAAAATCTGTATAGGCATAGCTGAATAATATGATAATAATAAACATTTTATTATAATTTTTTATGATTCTTTGATTAATAGAATGTTTTTTTTACACTATAAAAACCATTTGTGACACCTTAAATGTCTTTACTGTCACTTTAGATAAATGTAATTCTTTCTTGTTGAGTAAAAGTATTAATATCTTTTAAAAATCGTACTGACTCAAGACTTTTTTATTTTTTTATTTATGATTTATTTAACATTTTTCCTTTTTACAAACATATCAAACAACCCTTACAGAAATAATAATAGAAAAAATATATATAAATATAAATACAAATAACATATTGATAAAAAAGTGAATAAATAAATAAATAAAAATAAAAAAGAAGATAATAATAAAATAAAACCAAATTAACAAATTAACAATTAATGCAAGGCAGATGTCTACATTTATACAGTAATCTCAAATGTTACATTTCGAGTGATGAAAGATTACAAACTGATGTACTATTGTGATCAGAAGCTGAGGTGATCAGTCTAGATCCAGCTGAAGAGTTTTAACATAGAAAGAAAGGGCATCCCAAATTTTGGCAAATGTTCTGTTAGGTCTTTGAAGGGAATATCTAATCTTCTCTAGTTTTACAAAATACAAAACATCTTTCAGCCACTGTACATGCGAGGGTGGCTGAGGGTTCTTCCAGTATAACAAAATGACACGCCTAGCAAGCAAAGTAAGAAAGGCCACGAAGTTTAAAAGGTAAGTGGGTAATGCATAATTATCCGGCATCACGCCAAACAGGCCAATAATGGGTGATGGTGCTATGTCTATAGAAGTAATGGCTGAAAGTAAGAGTAAGTAATGGCTGAAGTAAGAGACTGAAATACTGAGCCCCAAAATGAGGAAAGAGCTGGGCATGTCCAAAACATATATGTTAAAGTACCTAAACCCGAATGACCAAGACTTTTAAACAGTACTTTAAATGCTATTTTTTTTTGTTAGAGACCATATGTAGCTCATGCTGATTGCAATGTCCATGTTCTATTGTAGTATTTATTTCCAAATACTGTATTATGAAGATGTAGGATCTAGGGAAACAAAATAAAGTCAAGCGTAAATGAATATCAGCTGCTTCAGTCCAACATCTACATTAGCAGGATGATGAAGATGAAGCCAGAGTGGACATTTCAGCAAGACAACGATCCAAAACACAGCCAGGGAAACTCTCAAATGCTTTCAGAGAAAGAAAATCAAGCTTTAGATTGGCTCAGCCAATCACCTGACTTAAATCCAATAGGAAATAGAAAATAGACATTAGATTTGATAGACGAGACCAACAGAACCATCAAAATTTTGACACTCTGTTGAAGTCTGTGAAAAACTTACACCTGAGCAATGCATGAGACTTCATTCTCCACATGAGAGGCGTCTTTAACCTGCCGTCACCAAAAAATACACTTCAGTAGTTCTGGAATTTCTCCTTCTGTCATTCCATTGTTATTACACAGAACTCATTTTTCAGATTTTAATTTTAATTTTTGTAATGTTTGGGTTTAATTCCATGTCAGCAGCTCCTTTAGAAATAATAGTCCCTGGAAAAAAATGACATGTTCAATGCTTATTTCTCCCACTGTAAATACATTTTTTAAATTTAAATTTGAGGTCATAAATGAAGATGTAACTCTTTTTTTTTCAGATGTCATTTTGTGTCTACGTGGTACACAAAACGCAAGAAAAATAAAACATATAAATACAAGAAAATATTTTCTGCTTTAGTTCCAGTTTTGTAATTAGACTCAAATCTCCACCAACTTCCCATCTTGACCATTATTGTCCCGTATCTTAGCAACTCGGCAGACGGGCATCACTCCTCAGGTATGAGTAGCTGTTTCCATCAGCGAACGCCGTCGAGGCCTGATCCAGGCACAATGCGGGGTCACACTCCAGAAGCCCGACTTCCGCCTCCACCGTATTTATCTTAATTTATGCTTTTTAATTACTTTGAACAAATAGGATTTGCAGACGGAGATGCTGATTGTGGCCGGTCGCCACGCAGCGGACACATGATGGGTTCGGAATATAGAAGCGCCCCGTAATACTGAGGGATTAACCCAACGCTCGAGTCCTCATCAGATGCAAAAACACACTCGTGGTCTGGCTCGGGTCACCACCATCAAGTGGCATGAAAATCACATGGCTTGTTTTTTTTTCTCCCCCTTCCCATCTGTTGATTAGCAAGCATCAAGGAAGATATTATCATTTAACTTGTTCAATATTTTATTTTTTACCAGAGGTTGGTTTTAATGATTTAGATGATGGTGGTGATTATGATAATGCCACGAGCGTTATTATTAGTGATGTGTTTGAGTTTAAGAGGGAAGAAAGAAAAGCGAAGTGCGTCTGTTGGATCATTAAGGGTGAGTCGTGATAAATGGTTAAATCACAGCACATTAAAGGCTCATTAAAAACAACTGTAGGGGGATGTGTATGTGTGGGACGGGCCGGCTGGATGGCACTGTAGGGTTTAAGTGGGTGTTCTGCCCATTGGCTGACATTAGCCATCTCCACGTATATATGTTTATGCCTGATGCAAAGAGTGCACCCAGAATGACATGCTAGTGAACTGTTTAATGTGCGCTATATACAGTTAACTGCATAAAATGCTGTACAGAATTGTGTGCATTAAAGAGGTCATTTATTTTCTTTTTACATATGTGTAATGTTGCCATTTGAGCATAAAAAACGTCTGCAAATTTAAGTCACTTTAGCTTGACCTACTGAGTTTCTAAACCATTTAAACCAGGGGTGTCTAAACTCGGTCCTGGAGGGTTGGTGTCCTGTAGATTTTAGCACCAACTTGCCTCAACACACCTGCAAGGATGTTTCTACAAAGTCTGGTAAGAGCTTGATTAGCTAGCCCAGGTTTTTCTGATTGGGGATGGAACTAAACTTTGCAGGACTTCAGCTCCAGGACTGAGTTTGGACACCCCTAATGGTTTAGAAATTTAATTCCATATTAGAAAATTTAAATAATTTATACTGATGCTCACGGTATTTCTACCTCTGCTATTTGCATTTACAGATATAACTAACATTGTGTGAACTTGTGAGCTTTGGGTGTGCTTTTAGCATAATATTGTGTTGTGTCAAATTTGATTTTTCCTGTCAAAAAAGGAGAGTTCACCTAGAAAATGAACACTTACTCACAATTTACTCACCCTCAGGTGGTTCTAAACCTTTATGAGTTCAACTGAAAAGAAGGTATTTTTAAGAAAAATAAAAACCTGTAATCATTGACATATTATATTGACTTAAATATTATGGAAGTCAGTGGTTACGAGTTACCAACATTCTTCAAGATGTGTTCCATAGTGTTTAACAGAAGAAATAAACTCAAAAAGGTTTGAAGAAGTAAATTTATATATTTTTCAAGTTCTAGTATTAAGCTTAAAGTGCAATTTAAAGGCTTAATTAGGTTAATTAGGTTAATTACATAGCGTAGAGTAATTGGGCAGGTCATTGTATAACAATTGTTTGTTCGGTAGACAATCAAATAAAAAATATTGTCTAAGGGGTATTGATCTTAAAGTGGTTTTAAAAATTTAAATTATTTTATTCTAGCAGAAATAAAACCAATAAGATTTTTTTTTCCAGAAGGAAAAATATTATAGGAAATACTGTGAAAATTTATTTGCTCTGTGAAACAAAATTTTAGCAAATATTTAAAAAAGAGAGTTCAGGTTCTTTTTTAACGATCTAGGCACAAAGTCTAAAACGCAGGGCGCAAAAGCATTTGGGGTGCATCCGATTCCACTTTTGCTATTTTAAGAATGAAAAAGTACGCTCTGCGCCCCCAGTGCATGGTTTATCAGGGTTCTGCAATCAGAGTCTCATCTCCTATTCCCTTTAAGAGTCAGTTGCTTCACGGCATGGCGCATTTGCTTTTTACATGGTGGACTTTGTGGATAAACTGAATGCTTCACTGGCAAGAAAACAGTTAAGCAGACTATCTGCAGCGTGAGGATAAAGAACAAGCCTCCTCCATTCAGCCACTTTACTTTTGCTCTTTACTCCTTTACTTTTGTGGATAAGGAAATGTTGGAAACTCAATCCATTGAAGACATCCGTTAGCCTACATAGTCAATTTTGTTTGCTAAGCGCTAAGATTTGTTTCAAAACTATTTCTAAATTTAGTTCTAATTTCCAGCAAACCAATAAATGAACAATAATTATTTATAAGTTATATCCAAACACACGTCCTTTTCTCATGTCCCCTATGGTGATGCCTACGTCTGCAAAACCCGACAGGTGGACAAATCTAAACTTGTTTTTATTAAAACAAATATAAATATACATATGATAAGCAATACTAATACCAATTATAACATTACACAAATGCAAATTGTTATGAATAAACTTGAAAAAGCCCCCAGAGATGAAGGCTCGGAGGCAGTGGTTTTTATATTTATGCAGAAAATAATAATTTTTGTAACATTTTAATCCTTTTTCATTTGTAAAGATAATTGTGTATTGCTGTACATCCTGTGTGTATTACGCAATGTGTGATTACTAACTCGCTCTGCGCTGGATTTTAGACCAGCTTTTAGTTCTTCAAAATAGCAAAGCGCCAACAATGTGCCTTAACACTCCTCTATTGTAGACCGGAATGTCCATGAGTCCATAAGTGGCGCAAAGGAATTTGCTATTTAAACAATGTGGCTCAAAACATGAAAATTTGGGTTGCGCCCGTCTGAAAAGGGCAACAAATCACGTCAAACATGTCTTGCGCCGTGTGTATTTTAGGGACCTTTAACCTTCAACTTCAAGATTCTGACTTCAACTGTATGTCTGTGTATGTGCACGCAGGGCTCCGGGACATGCTCCATATGATCTCCCAGCAGTGGCAGGAGCTGCAGAGACAGATCCGCCGTCAGCACAACTGGATGCTGCGCACACTGGACGCCATCAAAACCCACATCTTGTCCAGCGAGAGGTCCGAGGACGAGGCTCACAGTCATCACCACAGCCCCAAGGTAAACCATTTCGTACCCACAGCCTGAATCGCTCCATCTGTCTGCGGCTCTCAGTTTCTCTCTGGTCGCCCACGGCCATGCTCTGCTCGATCAGCAAAATAAACAAACAGGGCCGAGCTGTATTTCCATAAGAAACGGCTCTTCAGTAAGACGTTCCTTTCAGAGAGGAAACAGGGATGGGGATGCAGCATCGCCGTGATGCGAATGACAATTTTCTCTCTTTAAAGGGATAGTTCATGCAAAAATAAACATTTATTCACTATTTACTTATCCTTAAGTGCTTAATGAGTTTCTTTTAAACTGTTGAATACAAAAGAAGATGTTATCAAATATGTCAGAAACCGGTTACTATTGACTTCCATAGTAGGAACAACAAATACAATGGAAGTCAATGGTTAGAAGTTTCCAGCTTTTTTCAAAGTATATTCTGTGGTCACACTTTATTTTAACTTACAAGTCACGCTATTGACAAGCTATTAACTAAGGCCCCGTTTACACTGCTAGTTAATTGTGACCCAATTCAGATTTTTCGCTAATATGTGGCACAGATCAAATCTGTTCTATGACCGTGTAAACACGGAGAAAACGCATGCATTCGGATATTCAGAGATCGGTTTCAGCCCTCCTTCATATGTGAAAATAAATCAGATATAAATTGGATATGTGAAAATAAGACTATTTCTGTCACATAACCAGCGATCGCTCTCCAGAGATTGCTGGTTCTCACACGAACACCATGGACTACATCTCCGGTTTCCCCTGGACTACATATGCATACATGCTCTCCGGTCACACTCACGCCTGCTCACTCATTAAGACTGATTACATTCCCACCAGCTGAGCCTTGTTCAGATACTGATTAGACACACTTCATAAGCCACTCATTCACCCATCCAGTTGGCCGAGTCTTGTTTGCTTTATATGACATTACAACGTGTTTGTCCCTGTCTTGTTTATATCCGTGTTTAGACCCTAGCCTTGTATTCTTTGTTCTCCTGTTTAGCCGCTTGCCTTACGACCTATAGCCTGTTATACGATTACGATTCTGGTCTGCCTGAAAATACCCGTTTGCACCTGTTTGATCATTGCTTGCCTGATGCTGAATAAACCTGCATTTTCATCTTACCTCCAGTTGACTCTGTCACTCCACCCCGTCGTTACAATTTCCCAGAGTTGGGTTGTGGCTGGAAGGGCATCCGCTGCGTAAAAACTTGCTGGATAGGTTGTCGGTTCATTCCGCTGTGGCGACCACGGATTAATAAAGGGACTAAGCCGACAAGAATGAACAATGCGACTATCATGTAAACAGGAAGATCGGATGTATTGAGGCATTCCATTTTGTACACCAAACTTGAGACAATGTGGTACTTCTCTGTGGTTTAATGACGTAGATGGAAAAGCGCGTGTAAAAACGCTGACACAGTAAACAACAACAGGAAACATGGGGGAGGAAAGTGGTCAGTCGCCACATTTAGTTCCCAGATTCTTTTTAACAAGTTGTTTTACTTTAGTTTAGTTATTCTCAAATGTTTAATGAGTTTAATGAGTATGGAGCTGCATCAATTTTGCCCCTGAATTTTAAGTAAAACAATCTCATATAGTTAAACTCATCGGATCTGGCTTGTTTCTACAGCTAGGTATATTTGTACCATATTCATATTTTTTTACTAATTAAATCTATGGCTGCATTTGCACTGCAGGTCTTAATGGTCAGTTCTGACTTTGTGACTCTATCCAAATTTTATTTAAATTTTTTACTGTATCCGATTTTATTGTTGACCTGGTTACACGTCTGCATTTGCACTACATCTGACAAACATGCAATGACTCGGAAAATAACAGCGGGATGTGCTCAATAGTTTTATGTTCGTTTTTATTGTTTATGTGGCAGATGTTGCACTCTTTCTCTAAGGAATCTGACAACTTACATTTAAAAAAACTGACAAATTAAATCAAATTAAAAGGTCACAAACAGTTAGTTATAATCCTTATTGTGATTTTTGCGTGTACTATCCCTTTAAATGAGCGTGAGAGGTTTGATAGCTCTCACAAAACACATACACAATTATGCTTCAGAGGCGACGCGCTAGACTCAATTTATACTTCACACTTAATGTGTAATTGCAGACATAGTTATTTGGGAGACCAATTTCTCATTGTTTAATTGTCAATTGTGATTGGGTAATTGCACTCCAATTAGGTGGCATGTTTGTGCGCCGGGCCCTGAGAGCGAGGCCTGGCGGTGTGTGTTTATGTTTGTGTTTCTGCGTGGCGTTTGCGACGACAGCAGCTTCAGGAACAGCCGTGATCTCGGCTGGATTTCCCCCGGGAGCATCAGCATCGCCTGCATGGGCTCAATCTCTCCTTCTCCTCTCCTCCGTAATCTCTTCTGCTTCATCTGCAGAAAACAGGAACGGCAGGGTCTCGCTCAGTCACATAGTATTTCCCGCTTTTTGGTCTCCTGCTTTGGTCTTTTTCCTTTCTGCTCAAATAGGCTGTGGTGGTGTACAGAACAGTGTACTATCAAAAATGAAAAAGGGACAATCTTGTGCTTAGAATCAAGTCATAATAAAGTATTTGGGAATAAATAGTCCAGTAGAACAGGTTTTTGCTAGATCAGATATGGCTGCGGCCAGAAATTTATCAAATTTCCTATTTATTGTATTTTATTAACGTCTACCCCTACCCTAAACCCAATCGTCACAGTAATGTAAACACGGTAGTTGTACCGTGTACATATGTACATATAGTATATGTTTTTTAATAAATTACCCAATAAATTGTATTCTATTAAGCATACCCCCACCCCAACCCTAAACCCAATCGTCACAGTACTGTAAAAATATTAATTATTTTTATACAGTGTTACAAAAATGATGCTACAGGGTATATTGATGTGAGTATCTACAGCTGTATCCTATCTAGACTTATTGTAGAACACGGACATTACGATCAGCATAAGCTACATATAATATCTAACAAAAAAAAAAATGCATTTAAACTACTGTTTAAAAGTCTTGGGTCAGTAACATTTTTAAAAGAGATTAATACCCAACAGGCACAGGACGTCAACATGAGGTTAGATTGACATTGTACCCTATAATGTCGTGGGGACGTTGCATTTTGTTTGGAAATGAAAATCAAGTTGACGTCAGAACGCAACGTCAGGCAGACGTCAATGTCCAATGTCCAATCTAAAATCAACCAACTATCAACGTCCAATGATGTGACAGCTTGACGTTGTGTGGATGTTACCACTATGATGTCTATCAGACGTTGGACTTTGGTTGCCGTAACTGATAAATAAATGTCAGTATTTGACGTCAATATGACGTTGGTTTGAAATGGGCTCGATGTTGGATTCTGGTCATTTTCTAACACAACCTAAAATCAACCAAATATCGACGTCTAATCATGTTACAGTTTGACGTTGTGGGGATGGTACCACTATGGCATCTAGGAGACGTTAGATTTTGGTTGCCATACCTGACAAATACATGTCAGTATTTAATGTCTACGTCCCAGGGATTACTTACATTCTTGCAACACCTAGTGAACCTGTGTATAGACACCAAGTTTAGGAGTGAGCGATGTCTTTTTCTGTTTGGTTAGATTAGTGTAGGTAAGTTAGGGCATGTAAACGCTGAAGACTTGCTTTCGATTATTTAGTTTCCTGTCAGGTAAAAGGGTTATACTGAGATCTTTGGCTTTGTTATTTTCTTTTCTTTCAGCGCTACTTTTGTCCTCTTCCCTGACGGGGTTTGATGTTTTTGAATTATTTTTATTGGTATACATTTGTATTTATGCCAACACTATACTATATAGTGTTGGTATTAAGAAACTACTTATTATTACTAATTTCTGTTAATCTTTGATTTTATGTAATACATTATTCTGTTTTTGGTAGAATTATTTGGTTGATGGATGGTTCTTTTCTTCCCGCATTACACAAAATGGTAAACAAAGATGTTGGCTCAATGTTGGATTTTGATCATTTTTCCATGCCATTTGATATTGTTAATGAATGTCTAAATAACGTTGTCCATAGACGCTGAATGAAAATTTGGTCTTCTGACGTCACATCTTAAATCTTACCGGATATTAACGTCTCATGATGTTGTGCCTGCTGGATTCTTTTATTCAACAAGAAAGAATTACATTCATCTAAATTGACAGTAAAGACATTTTTAATGCGTCTATGTACCAGCATTGGTTTTCTTGTTTTTGTTTTCAAAACATAAAAACAAATAAATTATTTATGTCAAATTTGAATCTTCTCACGAACATAAACTTATTGTTTTTTAAATAAATATTTTTGTTTTCATCACATTTAGTTTTTACACACAAAATAAAAAAAAAACTATACAAAATGAATTAGCAGCTTTAAACCAATTATACGTGGATCATAATGTCACAAAAATAGCGTTTAGAAGATATAAAATTTATATATACATGTAAAGCTTATAGTTTGTCACTTCCAACTAAATGAATCAACAGATCATTCACGTCACCTCATGTTTCAGTTTGTCATTAAATCATGACCAGTCAAATGTTCTATATCAGGTGTTCTCAACCTTTTTCACTTCGAGGCCCACCTCACTCTTAGAAATTTTTTTTGAAGGCCCAAACTGATTGTCTAGAGAAAATGCTTGTTTTGATGCTTTATTTATTAGCAAAACATTTCTCTTGCATTCTATTATTCTTTTATTTTTCTACATAATTTTTATATCTATCTAACTAACTAACTAACTAACTAACTAACTAACTAACTAACTAACTAACTAACTAACTAACTAACTAACTAACTAACTAACTAACTAACTAACTATATATATATATATATATATATATATATATATATATATATATATATATATATATATATATATATATATATATATATATATATATCGTAATATTTAAAAAATAATATTAATGGACAGACAGGTTCAAAGCTCCTGAATTCTTTCTTTCAGTTATTATTATATATATATTTTTTT